GTATCAGTGATGGTAGCACTGAATATATACTAACAGTAGGAGGATACTCTGGTACTGCTGGGGATGGACTGATTACTGATCCTAATAATGGTTATATTCACAATGGAATGAAATTCTCTACAAGAGATAATGATAATGATAATGGTGAGAATTGTGCCATTAACTGGAATGGTGCCTGGTGGTTTAATGATTGCTTTCAATCTCATCTCAATGGTCCTTATTATACTAATCCAACTGGAAATGGTGTGTGGAATGGAATCATATGGTATGATTGGAAAGGAGCTAGCTATAGTCTCAAGTTTACAGAGATGAAAACTCATCGTAACAATTAATATGCATGGGTATGATAGTATTGTGTGGAATTGGTTACATACATTACTTAGTCATGATTCATGTAATCATTTAATTGCACAACTATACTTATATAAGTTCATTGCTGTACAAGTGTGACAATACTTAAGCTTAACTACATAAACTATTCATGAATAATTCTGTTTGATGTTAATGATATGAATGAGGTTTCCAGATGCTATGGAGACTGCTAATTTGGAAACCTCGGGCTTTGCCTTTGGTTCCAAAATTCCATAAACACCTCATATGAGATGTTTATTCATTTTGTACATGGAGAGATGAATAAAAAGAAAGTACAGAACTAGGTGTATTGTATCAGTCATACTAATCATAATCAGTGCAGGGTTGCTGAGCAGAAAGGAGTAGCTGTGGTGGATCACTCCTCCAACTTCACTAGCAGTTTCCTTTGATGATGAAGAGAAAACATATTCATGCACTAACACTATTGGGTTGTTGAGTTGAGTTGCTGAATAGTACTTCTCTCCTAGCTTCCCACAATACTACCATAAATTAAGTATTTTGGTAAGTATTAAACTGTTATGTGTTTAGAGGTAGGACATTAACATTATACTTAATACTAGTTAGTATGACATTTAACTATATGTTATTCTAGGTATCACAGTAGCACACTACTGAAGTCTGATATTAATGTGATAATAAGTCTCATATAATAGCAGTTATTGTATACAAAAGGAAGTGAAACAATAATATACGAATGTGTTTACTCTCAGTGCTTTATTCAACAACAAGAGTACCTACTACTCTTGTTGAAGTGTGTTACTACTCTTGTTGCTATTCTAGTTGTTTGGAAAAGGATACAGTGAATTGCAAATTGTTATACAGCCTATAAAAATTTGTGCCCATGTGAGCTCAAGCATTTGATTGGTCAGATCAATTTTCAAAGACTATTATAATGACCACCAAGTTGAACCAGCATGCAATTTATTGTAGTGTTGGAATCACCTCAAAGATCTGGTAGCCATGTGTGCTTTTCTTTAATAAGAATGTCCACGATGAATTTAAATCTAATTTTCCTTCTTTTGCTGCAGTACATTGATTGTGCTGGTAAGTTAAAGTATATATTCTTTTATTTCATTTTTTATTTTTATTATAATTATAGATATAACGCTTCAGCCAGTGTCTATTAATGCAACACTCAACTCTACTATTGTCTTCTCTTGTGAAGGAACTGGTGATGATCTTTCCTTCAGGGTTAATAATACACCAGCTACTAACATAGGTGTTGTAGCTAAAGGATTCAGTGAGACAGTATCTAATATTGGTGGTACTAGAAAAGCAGAGCTACAAGCAATAGCCTATGATTATAATAATAATACTGAAGTGAAGTGTAGAGCTCTTACTGATGAACCTCCAGGTATAGCATTCAGTAATACAGCAATATTAATGATACAAGGTTAGTGTGTGTATGTGTGTGTGTGTGTATGTGTCAATATTTACATCTTAGGTCTATTGGATAGTGTTGTTGATCTGGATTATACCTTTATTAATGGATCCAGTGTATTATTAACATGGATAGCTCCTTATACACTGAATAATGTAGCTATCACTGGGTACTATATACTAGTCAATGAATTAGTGAACATTATTACCACTGATAATAATACTAATATTATATTATCAGCTACTAATCCTGATCCTTGTATATTGAATAATGTATCAGTTTCTCCTATTAATGATGCTGGAGTAGGTTCATCTAATAACATCATATTTTATTATGAAACAGGTTAGCATTATTATGACTTCATGTATGTTCACAGTGTATCTTTCAGTTCCCCTCATTACTCCTCCTGTGTCAGTGGTACCAGTAATTGATGGACGACAAATATCATTGAATATCAGCATTAATGTAAGTATATTCACTACACAATAGCAATTAAAACAACATGTAGTTGCTATCAGAAGTATTCACAAGATATAGTTTACATTAAATAACTTCAGTTCACCTTATTCACACAATAATAGGTCAGTAACATATGCAAAGGAGAGTATCCTAATAATATTGCTGTTAGCATACTGAATACTGATAATGAAGTAATAAACAATACCATTATATCAACGCAAGCTAATGATCAATTGATGATCACTGGAAGTACTAGTTCAATAACTAATTTAAATACATTTACTGTGGATGTATCATTGAGTAATAATAGAGGAATATTTAATTATATGCCATCTTTCGGGTTTAGTAAGCATCTCATCTTTTCAGTATATTATGATTTATATACATACACTAGGTTTTCTTGGACCAGTTACTAACATTAGCTCTTCAATTGACAACTGTTCTACTATTGATATAACATGGACTGCTCCTACAGTTGATGATAGAGTACCTATACAGTATTACATGCTAAGGATATATGATGCTATTACTGGTAGTCTAGTGGATACTGTATCAGTATATGAGACCAGCTATCAGTTTGTGGATGATAATCTGTTATTTCATCACTATACATACGTTATTACTACAGTTAATGAATTAGGAGAAGGAATATCTAATAACAATACATTCTCATATCAAAGAGGTACATACATACATTTGAATGATTATGCTTGTTACACTGTTATAGTACCTAGAGCTGTTGAAAACACCTCACTTGACATACTTTCTTATATACAAGATCAAGTTATTATTCAGTTCTATATTCCAGTATGATGTTTAATATTATTATTATTATTATTATTATTAATAGATAACACTGAAGTGCACTAGTGAAGCTCCTGAACATGTTACAGTTACTGTAATATGTAATAATGGAATTGATAGCAGTACAACTTACTTTATAAAACAAAAAATCAATATAACAGGAATTAGATCAGTACCTCAGTATCAACAGTGTAATGTCAGTATTGTATTTAGTAATGAGGCTGGTAGTAGTGAACCATTTATACTAGCATTTGGTAAGTAGATATATGTATATTTATAGTATGTACTTACGCATTACATTAACAGATACATATCCTACTATCACTAGTGCCACTACTGTCACTATTACTGATACTGCTACTACTACTACTGATCATGATACTATTACTATACAAACATTTCCTACTATCACATCTCCTACTGTCACACCTGTTTCAACAAGTTTTAATATTAGTATTGGTTAGTTTTACATACATGTTTAAATATACTGGACTAATACATACCATTATGTTATCTATGATATTATAGTTATTGTCACATCAATACCAGTGGGTGCTGTTACTACAGTATCACTAACTTGTCTTATTGTGTTTATTATTATTATGTACAAAAGGAAGTTAAGCAGTAAGTATATGTATATACACTATTTATTATTAATTATTAATTACAGGGTTTGCTTCATTACAAAAACGACAACAGGAGGTTCCTACTTCGTGTAATGAAGCATATGAATTTAACACTTTAATGATTAATAATAATCCTGCTTATGGACAAATAGGACGAGATGGAGCAGTTAGCATGTAATTAGTTAAATTTAAAAACATACTAATAATAAAGATTGATATCTTATGTATACATGATTCTGAAATTTAGAAAAAGGACACACATTTAAACTATAGCTTTTAATAGTATCACAGCAAAAATAAGTGTAAAATACACAACTTTAAAATGAGATTTTGATGTATATAACAGACAGAATGGTAGACAAATGAGGCCAATAAGATCAAAAGTGTACACAATTTTTAAATATTAAACACATAGCAATTAATAATGATCATGACCTAGATTAATGATAACACATATGTTCTTCTAATGGTTGGCTCTTTCTTATTTGCAGCCTTCTGACTTGGAATCAGTATAAGGACGCAAGAATGGCTACTTGGTGCTAATAACCATGCTATGTAAACTTACGCACTGTGGTATCACAGATTATAGGTGGGTTAGACACTCTCCCTAAATAATTATCCACTCTTGCTAAAATACATAAACTATTTGATAACATCTATAATGTCTAATATTACTTACAAATGAGTTACTAACAAGTCTAGCATTATTACATGTACATATTAAACTGCAGCAATAAAAATGTACTAGAAATCATTTGGGGCTGGGTACTTTGTAGGTGATGAAATAGTATTAAAATATTAAAAAAAACACTAGCTGACAGAATAGGCAGTTTTAAATTGAGTAGGTATTATGCGTGCATGATATACAAGTAGGATGCTACTTGATCTGCAACAGCAGAACAGCAGGTAGGTAGCTCCTCTTTCCCCTCTTTAAAGAGGGGAGGAGAAGGAGAGGAAAAATTAGCATGTGAATCTGAAAAAATTAATTTAAATTTAAATTGATAAAATTTAATTGTATCAAAAAATATCGTGCATGACTATTTACTATCATTAACATGCATGCATATGCTAAATTCCTTGCATCAGTTTCATTACTACATAATTGAATTTATCATTTTCTTTTTAACCTGAGGTATTTATTTTATTAAAGTGTGAAGTATATCAGATAAAATACCTTTTTGTTATTTTTTCTTTATAATCTTTTACTTTTTTGCATATGCCATCATACTCTATTATAATCATGATAATAATTGATGAAATATAATACTAACTTTTTGAAAACTTATATTTCAGGATTAAACAGCATATTATAGCAATTACAATGACTAGCAGTACAACAAAACCAACAACAACACCAGAGATTATACCTATTATAATGAAACAATATTTCAATAAAAAATTAATATAATTAATAATCAACCTGATAATGATGTCCTTTGTGAAGCAGTTGGTGCTAAAGTTGGTGTGACACTTGGTGATGATGAGCTAGTTTTTATAGGAGGAATAGTTATATCTGTTAAAAATTTCAATAAAATAATACACATAAATACTGAATGCTTACCAATCGTCTGTATAAATTTACTGCCATCCTTACAACTAGATACAATACTGATATTACACTTTTGATTGAATGGTATTGATACTGATCCTGCTATTGATCCTGCTTTATTTATTAGTTGTTTAGCATTCTCAATTAGTACAATACCAGTTTCATTACACTGTATAATAACAGCTATATTCCCAGAGGGTTCACCAGTAAACTTGAATTATTGCAAGTATATCATAATGTAATTGTCTAGTTTTTATTTCTTACTTGTTCTATATTGAAATGCAATGTAATATCACCAGTCTTAGTGTAGTTATCAAAATTTAGATTAAATGAGTTACGGCCTAGAAAATGGTTGGATCTACACCTCTTTGAAATGAAATTGAAATTTTACCTCTAAAACTGATGTTCTTAGATGAACCTATTCCAACAATATTAATAGGAGAAACTGATACATTATTTAATATACAAGGATCAGGATTAGTAG